AGACGTGTGCTCTTCCGATCTCGGCGATTGAAGCCTCTTTTCCCCAATGTTTAAAAATTCATATCTTCCAGAAAAGTAAAGATATAGACTTCGTTCTGGGCTCATCTTAAAGATGATTTTTGTGGCTATTTTTTATGAAATCGTGATTTTATTTAAAAATGGCCGTCGCCTGTTATGTACTAGTTTAATAAAAAAAAGAATTTAATATTCATAAATCTCTGTCTGACAGCTCTTACTTGCACGATTGAAATCTGGTTTCATTGCCGTGACATGTTATAGTATTTGCAGCGATCCAAGTTGGCACACCACTGCCATTGTTTCGGCCTTGCCAAGCCATTTCTGCGCCTCTATGAACAAAATAGTTTATACAATGTCACGTTTTCCATTGTCTATTATTTAATTATTATTCAAAGTAATAATAATTTATAATTAACAAAAACGTTGAAATACAACATATATTTATTGAGAAAAAGTAATCCCCTAATTTTTTGGACCAGTATATGTAATATTATTGTATCTAAATAAGAATTCCATTAAAAGTTAAAAATATATATAAAGATATCGTAAATTATCTTTATAGTTATTTAATGATATTGCAGATATCTAATATGTACACGTATATCTAATGTATAATATAATAGATACAAATTTACAAAAAGAAATTCCAACACAATTTTTAAAATATAATAATTTTTTATTTTATATACCTGATATACCCAAGTTGTCTACATAAAATATGAGCTTCTTTTAAAGTCCAACTATTTCTGGAATCGCATACAATGCCCCAACCAGGCAATATACCTTGTACCTCAACATAACCATTATTAGGCTCAGAACCGCCTCTCAATCGAATAGTCTAATATGTTAAATAAAATGTAATTTTTTATTATAATTAAATTTTTTTTCAATTTATCTTTATGTAAATGCTCTCACCTGACCAGATATAGGCGTCGGTCGAACGGACTTTTTTGAATGAGTTAATGGATGCACTGGCTGCACGTAATAAACTGGGAATGGAGGTTCTTCTATAATAATATTAAATAAATTCTTTATTTATATATTTTGTTTACTTATCACTTGTTTTAATAATATGAGATAATAAGTTGTATTGTTGGTATCATATGTGTATATATATTTGACATATTTGACGTATATTATATTTACACAAATATATTTTTATATATTAATGTTTCCATGCAAAGTTAATTAAAGTCATGCAAAAGCATGAGCAAAAAAATGCATGCAAAAGAATAAAATCAAGTTTATTTAAATTTATTTCATTATTGTATGATTATTGCAAATTTATTTTATTATTGCATGATTATTGCATAATTTTGACATAACAATATACAAGAAAGCAATTACAAAGAAAGCCATGCAAAAAAGCAATTTAAAAATAACTTACCAGAATTTATTTTTCACACACGCGTTCGAATACTCATTGTACAAATAAAAACACATAAATTTGCATCAAATTAAATCATTAACTTACTTTCTTGAAATGGAGCTGTTTCAATATTAAAAAGTTCGAGATCAGTATTTTTTGGACCGATTCTCATAATGACCGACGAAGCCGTCGTTGTTTTAGTCTTATTTTCAAAAACCAGCCTAGGCTTCCAAACATTTTTATCATCCAACACATCAACATCGTAATCATTTATTTCGGGTTCTATAATATTTAGAGATTTTAAATCTACATTACTTATTGTCATATTGCTATCCTACAACGATCATTTGAGTCACTAGATAAATTAAAATCGCTCATGTTACCAGAGTTTTGCAACTCTTTTTCTTTTGCACTTTCAAAATCCCGTCCTCTTCTTGACCATTCGAATTGTTTATTTGAAATTTTTTCTGTTGTCGTTGTCATCTGCAGCGTTGTCGTAAACGGTGTATAATTATTTTCAGTATCTGTTAAAAAAGAAAGTTTTTACCAAACGTTTGAGTATAAATTGTAAAATTTACAATTGTAGCTGTTGATTAAATTTTATATTTATAAAATTTTGAAACTTAAATTAAGTATTAAAAATATAATAATAATAAATTTTAAATATTTGAGCGTTAAAAGGAAAATCAGCAAGTAATATAAATGAACATTAAGCCTTATAAAAGTAATGTCTATTATAACAATCAAATAAAATATACGATAACGTATAATAATTAATTTAGATATACTATTAAAAATGTTATTGATAGATTTTTGATTGATAGATTTTTTAGTACTATGTGATTGGTGGATTTTTGAGTGCTCTTGATTATTCTCCATTTCTTTCGTAATGTAATGACCTTTTATGCCATTTACATCGGTATATATTCCATTTGGATAAAAGTTTGTTCTAGGATATTGAGTTGCATTCGTAGATTCTGCAATAAATTACAGAGCGTTGTGAAGCATGATTTTTATAAAATGTAATAAGAAAAGTGTATAACTATTTGAGTAATAGCTTGTATGTGCCAATTATATATAAATTTGTATTTGATGTGTATTTACTGTAAATCAAGTAAATAAAATAAATCCGCCTACAAACCTAAGTTTACTTTATTCTTTGAATTTAACAAAACATTTGTTCTTGATGCCCACTGTGCCATTTTTGCATCCGTCTCTTTATTAATTGTGCTTTGCTGATGTATATTATTTCCAAATTGTTGTCGTAATTTATCATCTTGACTAGCCATGCCTATATGAAACATTAAACTTTCTCATTTATATGTATATCTATATGTATAGTTATACAATAAGTTTTACGTTAATACTCTTTTTAATTAATAAATAAACTATGAATACGCAAACATATTTCGCACTTTTATTTATACATGTAATTAAATTTAATTATCATTATATATGTAATTGAGCCACAATATCGATCGTAAATGCTTCATTTTAAATATATAATATATTTATTTACTTATCTTGCTGTGTATATTTCTTATTTTTCACTATTAATTCATGAAATGCATTAACGTGTAATATAATCTCCATGCATCATTATATTTTATGCGTGATAAGTATTAAGAAGCACTATGATCCATTTGCATACTCGTATTGTTTTAATGATATCATGCTGACATAAGTCTTGTATATGCAGTCACAAAGTTAATTCATGCAGCGTGCAAATAATTGCCAATAAATTTTGCAACAGCACATTGTTCTAAATTATTGAGTATTATTAACTTATTGTGTATTAACTATAACACTTTTTAATCTTATTCAAAATATTAATGATAAATAAATAATAAAAAGTTATTTAATTAAATCTGAAATAAAATTAATCTAATAAAAATATAATAAGCAAAGATAAATTCAGTATTAATTTTTACGTACCTTGATCCCACGAATGTGTCTGAATTTCCGTTTGTACATCTTGTTTTTGTTGGTCATGCCACGTACTTGGTTTAAAACTAGATGATCCGTTAAGCTGGTTCCAAGTTATATTTTTTTGTCCTATCCAAGGAGGAGATAATCTATCTTGTCGCGATTTATTCTGATTCCAATTTTCAGCGAGTGGAAAAGTATGATTGAAATTAGGACGATAAAATTCTGGATTCGTTCTGTTATAGTCTTGCCTATTCGGCAGCAAATCATGATCGGTCCTTTGACTAGCTGACAAATCATCGTCAGCAAAAAGCTTTGTTTCGTTATGCTCATTATGAAACTGACTATTATCTTTATTGTATCCTTCAAAAGGAAAATATGGTTGAAATCGTCTTTTCTCTTGATCTGTTTTGCTCGGCGTAGCTTGTTCAGAATCATGATGACCGTAATCGGAATCAGGATAATGATCAGAATACCAATGACTATTATCTGCGTTTGGAGTATATCCTTGGTATCCTGGATTGTACCTTCGATCGTCAATAGTAGAAGTAGGACTACCTGAGTTCCAACTCGGATTTATTGGTGGATTTGATGTAGGTCCATAATTATGATAATGATGGTGATGATGATGATAATGATAACCGGGAGGATAATGTCTGTGATTATAACGATAATCTTGATTTCTATTTTCGTGTGACGATCCTTCTGGATGATCGGAATGATAAACTCGTTGTGGATTTTGATCAATTTTAGGATTTTTCGTCCATTGCCCATCTGAATGATCTTGAAACTCGTGATTGTGATAAGAGGATTGTCTCAAATTTCCATTACTTGGTTTCCATTCGGGATGATACTGTCCAAAATCTTGATATCGGCTTTCTCTATGTGCATGACCATGACCGTCATGATAATTAACAGTATGCTCAGAACGATCATAAGATGTCCTTGGAGTTGTCCACTTTGATATCCAAAATGAGCTTGAAGATGTAGTAAATGGCCTCCAGGTTGGTCTAAATGTTGGATATATTGTCGTGTTATATTCCGATTGAAAAGGATGGCTACGGGAGTTAGAAGTGTGATTGTAGCTTGGATTTGATCGTGATGTGGTACCTCGAATTCCAGCAAATGGGATCCAAGTAGTATCTTCTGTCCTGTGTACCTTATCATTAAATTTATCTGTAATCCAAAAGTTGTAATTAATAATAGATTCCGTTAAAAACAATTTATGATTATTTGATTAATATATTTCAAGCCACATGACATTTCATCGGTGACACTAGACTTTTTAATCAGGTTATTTGATATTTGGCTATAAAAGGAAACGCAATTATAAAATAATTTCTTATATCATGCTTGAATGCTATGTTATATAATTATGATATAGGTACAAAATATTAGTACAATAAGTCTTCTTCATTATAATAATAATAATTATTGTAGCTTATATAAATAAATATTATTGTAGCTTATAAACAGTTTATAAAATACTTTTTATTTAACAAATATAATAAATACAAACAAAAATAATATTAAAATAACTGTAGATCACCGGTGATTAACGCGGCATGTTGAACAAGCCATTAAAAATTGACACGATACGGAATTGAATGTGTTAATAATTATTTGGATCAAACTGTATTGTGATTGTTAGATTAGATTCTACAGATAATATAAAATATAGAATTTGTTAAAATAGGCTTTGCAAATACATGCATCATATTTATTATTAGTTTTTCTCGAGATAAATATAATTGCAAGTTATTTTGAGAAATATACTAAATTGCTAAAATTAACAGTTTGCATTATTTGTTATAATTAATTTACCTGTTTTACAGCTGGGTACGTTATATGGCCAATCACAAACTAATGTAACAGGATTAAAAGCTGTTCCAGGACCACAGTCCATCACATAAGTAACACCGTTTGCACATTGAAGAAACTTTTTACACGTCTCTGGATGAGCCAATAATCCAGTAAAATCGGTAGGACATGTGATTTTTTTTACTTTGATATATTTTGCATTATCATGTCCAGAATTTAAATGTGGAGGTGTAAGTGGCATTTTTTGGTCAAATTTAAATATATCTGTATAACATAACAGAGATATAAATAATAACTTTTTATTATTTTTACGATAAAACGAATTATTTCTTCCAATATAAGTAATTATTTATTGCAGCTACCTTCACAACCCTTTACATTATGCGGCCAATCACATACACCAATAGCGGGATTGAAAACTGTTCCAGGACCACAATTCATAATATAAGTTGCACCATACGCGCATTGTATAAATTTCGTACAATCTCCATGATGCGGCAATAAACCGATTAAATAAGGTGGACATTTTGGTTCCTGTCAAATACCAAGTAAATCAATAAAGTAGTGAATATATCAGTAAACAAAATATCCAAAAAAAAGAATACATTATTTAAATCAAACGCAATATCATCAAAGTCAATAAATGTGAAAAAACGAAATAAATTTTGATTTATAATTTATAATAATAATACATTGTCAAAAAACGTACTTGCAACTTTTGTGATTCTCGATTAATTTGGGATTCAGAATCTGACTCTCTGAAATATTCAGATTCATCCTCGTAGCATTTCACTTTGTGCGGAAAATCGCATTCCAGAGTGTGAGGATTAAAGTGAGTACCTGGAGCGCATGGTTGAACAAGTGCACGACCCTTCCAACAATTAACGAAAAATTTGCAATCTGGAGGATAAATAAATTGCCCTGTGGAATTGTCATCAGGACACTGAACACCCAATCGAGAATTATATCGAGCTACTTTGTGTTGTGATTTTCGTGAAAGGAGTAAATTTTCTTTTCGTGGTTTCTGTATATAAAAAGATAAAACCAATATTATTACAGTGCAAGCATCAAACAATGTTATAAAATAAAGATTAAAATAAACCTAAAATTTGTTGTTTAAAAATCTTCATCCAGAATTTAGTATAAATTTTTATTTCAATTTAAAGCGAAATTTATATCAAAATTTATTATATATTTTTACAATTTGTATGTTATTTGAAGAAAAAATATGTATATAAATTTATCTTATATTTCATAATCAGTAAAGATATTTTAAATAAAATGATTATCTTGCGTAATATGGAATATAAGCAATGATATTATAATGCATGTTGTTTAGACGTAAAAACAAAATTACCATGCTATCAGTAGCAACGCCCTCATACAAATACTCATTTTCAAATTCTGCGTGCGTTTTTTTGTTCTCGTCATTTCTCAATGACTTATGCTCAAAATCAATCTCGTTTTGAGGTCGAATGCGATTTTCATATTTTGATTGATCATCCTTAAAATGTCCGTAATTTCTTTCAATCTCTGTCAAATCTCCGTATTCAAAAGGAAATCTCAGGCTTTCTTGTTGTTCCGACTTGTCAAATTTGAAATTGCGCTGTTGTTTTGAAACTTCTTCAGAAATTTGTTCAGAGACTTGTTCAGGAATGTCAATTTGCGTTCTTTGTTCAATTTCGCTGCCCGAAGCCTTTCGCCAAGGGCTCCAATTCTTCGTGTCAGATTTTGTAGTAATATTGTTCCGTGATTGATACCATTTTGGAGAAGGAGATGTTGTTTGAACACGAAATTCTCTTTCAGTTGAATGCCAAGGAAGTATTAATTCTCGACGCTCTGGCGGTTTCGTAGTTGTCAATCTTGGATCATAAATCTGGGTGATAATAAAAATCGATAAAAAAACATCAATTTTGACAATCGATAAAAATTAGCCGCATTTAATTTAAATATCACACTTTACTTTCGCATTATCTTTGTTTATATCAATACGTACGAAAATATAATTATTTATATATATTTTTTTTAAATTATATTATGTATATTTTACGATATGAAGAGACTTAACTAATAATTTTTGAAAGTTCTAGCAATGTAATTAATTATAATATTTTAATAAAAATTAATGAAACAGATTTTAAAGATTTAAAAACATACATTTTCAGTTTTTATTTTATGTCTTATTGTATGTTTCTGCAGACTGATTGTCACATCTGGTAGTAAATTTACGTTTACATTACGTTTCAGACATATGTCATTACATAACATTGCGATTGATCGACGTAAATAAAGTGTTTTATAATCCAATTCATTCAAGTTTTGATCTCTCAAATATCACACTATTTACTATATAACTACTATGTATCATATTATTATTGCATTGATAAAAATATAAAGCATATCTTTGTTTTCATTAAACTATCAATTTAGAAGTAAAAATAGGCTTTCTCGCTCTATCAATTTTGGAAAAAATAAGATTAAAAATTTCTTATTAAAAATTCGTATTTCTGGACATATTATTATATATGTAATGAAATATTAATATTTGTTGGTGACGCCCAATTTATCATATTCTTTTTATTTCAATTTTACAATTAAATCAATCCAGAGTTCACATTTAAATTATAATTTTAAACACATGAGTGTCTCTCTTGTATAAAATAAAATAAAAATGATTGCGTATATCACTAAAAGTCACTTGCAAGCAAACAATCTCACCACATACCGCGGAAGAAAAAACAGCAATATAAATGAGGCAAAGAACAATGAAGAAATAACTAAAACACGGCGTCATTTTCGATACATCCACGACACACCGAACATCGTACTATACTGATCTTCAGCTCTTTCTAAAATCGTAACACCGAGTTTAAATGTTAAGCAGAGCCGCTTTAAGAAGCAGATATTGATAAACTCGCGAGGAAACAAGTACTCTGATTCATAGAAATCAAAGAGTTATCAGTTAAAGAGGTCAAAGATCAACAAAAGATAATAAAACGGAAAGAGAAGGAGAGATCTCAGCTTGAAATGTATGCTGATGCGTACGCACAGAGGAATAGAATAGAAAAAAAGGACACCGGCAACATGAGAGTCGACACAATAAACGAACGACTGCAAACAGAACTATTTGCCAATTGACGGTGTGTGAGTAAACTTCTGCTTGTTGATAATTATTACAAGCTAGCCTTATAAAGAGACCGACGCGAGAGACATATAGATAACACGCGCGAATAGCATACTATCTATATGGAATGACATATGTACAAGGATGCTATTTCATGCGGAATTTTATTGAGCTTTTTGGAATTTCGTCATACGAAATTAGAAGAGATTAATTTACAATATATATATATATAAATATATATATATATATATATATATATATATATATTATTTTAACACAATCTACAGTTTCCATAAGAGTTTGAAATTGCCGCAGTTATCGGATCTGCGTCGGTGAATGCAAGTGTGGATAATTGGATCGAAAACATAAGTGGGATTGCACGTCTCCAATTTGCACAGGCTGGATCTACAATGTGCTCTTTGCTTCCTGCTTTTTGCTTTTTACCTTCTTTTTCTGCTCTTTGACCATTTTATCGACAATCGCGTTTCTTGTCGTGTGTTTCAGCTGTCTCTTTCGAATTAAGTTCATCAACATTTAATTATCCCGGGCGAAAATAAAGGATTGGCCGATATAAGAGGCAAAAAGGCAAGTGTGGTAAAAAGCAAGAAACAAGATGCAAAGAACACATTGTAGATTCAGTCTAGAGTCGCTGCACATTATATACATCCTGTAATCCTCCGGGTATGGCAATACTGTCTTCGACTTGTTGTCCTACGCAAAAAACATTATACAAAAATTTACAAAATAATAATTATGATGCATAAAATATAACAACTACATTAATTTTTAAACAGTTTTTTTTAACAAAGAGTTACATCTTTTTTTATTCTTGGTTTATTAAATTATTTATTACTTTCTTTTACTGTTTATACTGGAAGAAAATAAAGAGTTTATATTAGTCTTCTATATTAATCGATGGAACATATTTTCAATCATCACATTGCTCTGTAATATACATCTTTAGCTACAAGTAAAAACAAACGTTGATATAATATATTTTCGGGACTGGCACTCTATAAACTTTCACGATAAATCTTTTTTTTTTCTTAGACGCATAATTTATGTAGGCCATAACCGTTAACTTCTGCCGGAACCAGTAAAGTTCAACACTAGGATTTTATTGCTGTCGTTCATAATAACTTGCTGAACAAAAGCATTAAAATCCTAGTGTTGAACTTTACCAGTTTCAGTAAAAATTAACGCACGGTATACGGTCTGCGCATAAACCAGTCTTATCTCTCATAAGAGGAGAATTCCGAAGAATTAATTATTACATGATTATATCTTCCCGACAAGAGATGCCAACTACATCACTTATCCACTAAAAAATTCCATCATAGCCTATTTTGATCTGGATTGGGATGGTCCCTCATCACCAGCAGCATACTACAGAACTCTCTCCAAGTCGCGTACAATAAAGAGTGCCATGTGTCTCCAAGGCAACCTTCTCGAAAGAATTTATGACGAATCTAGTCAACTCAATCTTATTATTAATTTAACTGACAATGAATTATTTTTACCTGTTTCTTCAACTGTAATAAAATTAAAGAATTAAACAAAGCTATAATTAGTTAATAAAATCAACTTAAAACTTTTCTGTGATATTTTTTTTAAATTACCGCTGTATAAGACAATAATGAAAACCAACAGTTTAATAAATTAAATTGTAAAACAATTTCATGAGAAAAATATGAATTTTTTAAAACTAGTATATCAATGTTTCTACGTTCTATATAACATACATATAATATACATGTACAAAAACATTTTAATTAACTTATATTCACTCACAACTTTTAGTCTCCTGGTTGCAGCAATAAAGTGGCAATAGTATAGTATAGAAGCAACAAAATTACTAAACGGAACGATATTCTTATGTGATTCTGAAAAGCTATTCAGGCACAATTGTAAGACATGATCGAAAAATTGTGATATTTATGTAGATCGCAGTTTAACGAAAGTTTCTTCAGTGCATGTCAATTATCACTGCGGAAACTGTGTTCTTCTCCATGTATATTTTGCTGATAACGAGTTTATCTGAAGTTGTAAAAAATCGGTTATCTATTTGAAATACATAAATGAAGGTCGCGTTCGCGCTATAATATTCTTTTCGCGTCCGTGCGTCAGATCTCGTTTGATCGTTCCTATTATCACTATTTCTCGTTGTATCGACGGTATATTTGCTATTATAAACAACGATGATAGTTTACCGTACCACTCTCGATGATCACGCAATTATATGTTTGCAGTTTGTCGACGCATGCATTGTCAATTTACATGCGAAAATAATTCGCAATAACTCAATAATTTTTTAATTTTTAATTATGTTATTTCTAAATCTTATTTTATTTAATTAGTAGCAGTAGAATTGCTCATTATACTTATAATGAGATAGAGTTTCAATAAATAGAATAAACTTAATTTAAATTAATGTTACATAGTTTTATTTACACAAAATGTGACAAGTATCCGTTAAATTCGTTCAAACAGGAATGAAATATTTCGAAATAATGCATCTTTTCAATAACTTTTTTGTAAACTAAAATTCTCATCCACGATTGCCACATCCTCTACGGTCCCTCAGAGGATAGTCACAAGTACTTATAGCCGGATTAAATTCGGTTCCTATTCCACAACTTAACACAAAGCAACCACTTGCGTCACATTGTTGATACTTGCTGCAATCACCCGGATAAGGTATTACATGTGCCTGTAAATGAATAAATCATCCAATTTCAACCATTTTCATAAAGAAGAGAGAATAGCTGGTCAAAGTGAATAAAAAAAAGAAGCATTTTTTTTCTATTAAAAACAAATCTAGAAAGCACTGAAAGCTATGAGGGTACATAAAAATATAAATATAAAAAAAATACCTATTATCTAAATGTTTGGCAAATGTTTTACCAACAGCATAAATACAGCTTTAACTATATACATATTTATTTTTACTTATTTTATAATCTATATTGTAGGTATAATCTGCTATTTTGTACTGTATAAAATCCATAAAGTACATTACGAATCGTATATAACAATTTTATCCATAATTACATATTATTTATTAATTAAAATTATTGAAAAGTATTGTTTCATGTATTAAGAGATTAAAAGAGACAAAAAGAGACATGTAAAAGTATAGTGATGTACTTGACAGTATACGTGGAAATATGAGCAAGTATTATTCCGTAATATCAAAAGATTCAAGCAAATACAAATAGAAATGTAAAAGTAGACAGCTAGTTTAAATCAAATATTTCTAACAATAAGAGTATGTGCAGCCCTGCTCTTATTCATATGACCTTCATTAACGCTCACATTAATCTTTTAATATGTAAACTGTTTACATATAGTACTTACTTGAGATTGTGTCATTACAAACGGTGCTGTACACAGCATCAAGCATAACAAAACTGCGTAAGACTTCATCTTAAAGATCGTCTTTTAATCGTCGTTTGATTTAACTCAATTGCATTCCTTCATCAAGAAATCGACTTTATATACAAAATCTTCGACAGATACGATTAAGGAAATATTATGTTATCAAATGTGTTTTTGCTATTGCGTTTCTTGTATTTTCGTTATCTTTAGTTCATGCAAAGGGTAAAGGTGATATGAGTCGACATTTCACAAGTACATCAACGGCAATATTTAAAAGAGAAAAATGTACCTGCTGTCGCAATAAAATTCTACGAGCTACGTTACGTTATCAATAAAAACGCGTATTTTTCAGTATTTTTTATAGAATTGTTACGAGCAATTAAAATTAATAAAACATAAAACGTAATACTTATTTTCACATAATAATTAAAAAATATAAAGAAAATTTCGATTGTTTTAGAAAACATTTTAGAAAGATATTTTAGAAAAACTTTAGTTATATTACTTTTTTTCAGTTTTGTAGTTTTCGTCTATCCACTATTGTATGCGGCTTCTATTTGTAGATAAAAACGTGCTGTCTGTGTCTTAATTTATGCATATCGTTTGATAAAAGTATAACTTTGTTGCAAATTTTTGGTGTTATAGCAAATTATTTCTTCACTAATGAAATGATAACGCATGTAACGATAACGTCCTTATTATATTCTGTTATTTTATGAAGTTACTTTTCATTTCCAAAATTTATTTATAAAAATATATTCATAAACATTTCTTTCAAATTACTAAGTATATAAAAGAACTTTTTTTTTTATTTATGAATACTATACACAAAAGTTTACAATTGTTAATTAAAAACGTTTTAAAAAAACTGTCGATTATTATTTATGCAATATTTTATTTTATATACATACTTATATATTATTGAGTGAAGGAGCAGAACTCATGTAGGAGGGCGTTGTTTGGTGATACACACAACGATAGACCTAGGGGCAGACCAAGAAATCGCGGCTGGTAGTGCTCGATACTGGAGGACATAAAATTACTAAGAATAAAGGATTGGAGGATTAAATCCAGGGGCCGTGAGGGTTGGAGGCGAATTCTTCATCAGGTCAAGGACTTCTTTTTAGGTCTGTTATGTCGTAGAAGAAAAAGAATTATATATTATTATTTTAAAATTCTTTGTACATATTATTTAATATTTTCTTAAAAATTATTTCGCGCGCGCAAAATATTTGTACAAGTGACTAGCTCATAAAATACATATTTTTCATATTTTCGGTGGATTTTCCACTTTGCTTTCAAAATGACATCTAGCCGCTATCCTATTACGCAATACCAAATATGGATGTGGTGATTCAGATGTAGTTATAGGCACTTTTACGAAACGACGTAAGTTTGGAGATAATAAAATTAGATTTTGGAAAAGACCAAATGCACTGCTAGTTGCCCAGTACAAGCTCAAACACTGCAAAAATATATATATCAGATTATATCTTATGCATATAATTACTATTCACTTTATAACAAGATTTCTTGAAACTCACTGATGGTACAGACATAGCAATAGGGACCATTCCAATTGTAACAATTCTCATGAAAATGGTCAAATATCTCTGCCATTTTGTCAATTCTTTTACCCTACTCATACAAGTTATCTGTAGGATTATAAAATTAGATTGATATAAAGAACCAGAATATAATTAATTTTTCAGATTTGTCTATAATATTTATCAGATATTAATTATATTAAATCAGAAGTTATATTAAAAACTTACTTCTATAATGGCTAAATTAAATAATCCCATTGCTATGGGAAGTACAAACGAGTCTGGTATAGTTAAATTAGATATCCAAAGAAATCCATCAGTTGAAAATTCCTGATAAGTAGTATAAGCACCTGATGAAACAAATATATTAGATATGTACTAATTATTATCTTATTTTATTTTATTCAAACCATTATTTTACTTTTATTGTCATACATACCAGCATCCTGTTTAGGTAGCATATAACAAAAATTTCTAATAGACATTGATAATGATATCCATAAAGGTACTTGCACCAGTATTAATAGACTAGCTTTAGCTGGATGGCAATTTTCCCGCACAATCAATTTATTCCATTGTTTTTTCATCTGAAATAAAAATGGCAAATATTTGAAGATTAAATATTCTAACCAAATTTAATTGCCCTAATTAATTCAGTAGCTTAAAATAAACAAGATTAAATATTACCTACAGAGTGATTATACAAACGTGTAGCATATTTTTTAGACCAATTATATTTATGTATTCCAAAATTCATCTCTGTCTTCATCTCTTTAACTATCTCATCCATTTCATATTTGAGATTTTCCAATTTTGCAAATATATATAACTAAAAATATCATAATAAAAATGATTAAAAGACTTAAAAATTGCATTATAAAATTTAAAATATACAATAATTAAAAAGATGTAAAAAGTTAATAATGATCAATTTTTAATATAATTTTATATTAAATAGACTAATTGTAATTTTTCATGTGGTGTTAATTTATTTAAAGCTCTGAAAGGAATAAATATAATTCACAAGAAAGGAAATAACTATTTTATATAACTATGAAAGCCTTATCATTTTGTTTGTTGTATACTAGTTATATCTTCTTTTAGAGCATATTGTATGTATATATAAAACAGAAGCAGCATATATCATAAATATTTACTCATAACGTTTATGGGTATAATATTTAAAAATCTACCTGATACAAGGATAATGGTAATGTCACCGTTGTTCTCATTATAATAGTGGCAAGTATAATAACTGACCACCACGGTAAGCCCGTATAATCATGCACCAACAGTAAGGAATCTTGTGTGAGTTTAACAGGCGCACTCTCTGATATCACTTTAAATACACCATTAAACTGTGTTGGAACTTGAGCTTCAGCGATAGAATCAACTCCAACATTTGAAATATATCTGACACTGTTAAAATACTGACTACTGTGATAAGTTTTACATTTCACATGTTTCTTTCCATTATACAATATTATATGGGAAATAATTCGAGGATAAGACACACATAAAAAATTATTCTGTATTCTTGAACTACATTTAACTGTGACATTACTAACATTATTTAACATCGACTGATGATTGTTGAAAGTCAAATCTTGTGCAATGTGTGTACGAGATGTACTATAATCATTACAAACAGTATAAGATGAGGCAGTTGATGTTACGTTAAAACAAGTGGCATTACGATTGGCAATTTTGCTGACTCCTTTGAGCCGCTTCAAGAAAACATCCAAGTTTTTTATTTTCATAATAAACTTTGCTCACAAATAACAGTCGAAAAAACATAAAATTAAACACACATAAATTTAAAATTAACTTATTATTTATATACTACACTTTCTTTTTATTTATTACTTTAGAGATATATAAATTATATAATCCAAATATAACTACGAAAAGTTTTTTAAAACATTATTAATACAGACAACAAAAGTAAGGTTATGTTACAGTGTATAGTCAGAAACTCTCTCTGGTATAGTGCAGAGAGCACGGAGTACGGACACGCGCCACAAATTATATACCCGCGGAGCAGAAAAGTGAATGTTGCTATACAGTTTACAACCATTCCTACAGAGGGCGATAATGCCCTATGAGGACATTTCAAAGAGATTATGTATGTATGTACATTTTGTGCTGTGTTCAGACTCTCCACCTGGATGCATCCAGATATCATTTTATCCCTGTTGTTCGCTGAATGTTAAACAAGGATAACATGATACCCGGGTGCACCCAGCGGGGAATCGAAACGCAGCCATGGCATCGCTCCGACTTGCCGGAGTCGCCGCGGTCAATCAATTCGATCGAAGGAATCTCGCGAGGCACGCGTCGTCCCGAGTCGTCGTTTTACGCCGCGCGATTGATAAAGAGCGCGTGGATTAATCGCGACATTAGTAGACGACGGATTACGGACCATTCACACAGAAAAGTATCACGATCGCTCGACGCTCCCGTCGAAATTGCAGGTACGCTCGCTTTCCGCCTGAAACGCTCACTTCACATATGATGCGGAAAAACGACGCAGAAATCGCAGTCTCGTCCGCGGGACGCGCGCCTAAATTTACACCATTCGCCGCGAGCGACGCGGCGCCACAACCTGTCGACACTATAAGGGCACGTACTTGCTTCCTAGAACGATTACCGCCCCCCGCCGGAGTCGCCAGTCGATCAATTCCATTGAAGGAATCTCGCGCGTCTCGATCCGTCACGTATGTATGTTTACGCCCGCGATTATACGCCGCGCGGTTGACAAAGACCGGATTAATCGCGACAATACGACGGATTATGCACAAAAATAATCACGATCGCCCGCGACGTTCCGCGCGGCATTCCCGAAATCAGGCACGCTCGCTTTCCGCCTGAAATAGCGCTAATCTTATTGCGATACATTATAATGAGCGCACGAATGGATTCGTGTGTACTAATGTAAATATACGAGGTGCATCTTTTCGCGTACCGCGTCCCTCGGATATTCATCTTAATTGTAGCTCGTATATTTACACTCGTGTACATGAACGTTCGTTCGTGCACTCATTAGTATCGCAACAAGATCGCTGCAACAGGGGGGCCCGCGGTAATCATTCTAGAAATCATTATACGTGTCCTAGTGTCAACAGGTGTGCCGTGGCGAATGGCGTGAATTTCGGCGCGCGTCCCGCGACCGGATCGTGATTTCCGCGTCGTATGTGAATTAGTGAGTCATTTCAGACGGAAATCGAGCGTGCCTGATTTCGGGAGTGCCGGTGTCGTGCAGAGTGTCGGGCGATCGTGATATTTTTCTCCGAACGGTGCCATAATCCGAGTCGCGAGTGAGTGTTGTGAATGTGCAAAAAAATGGATTGACAACAACAGAGGAGGAGGAGGCCCGCGGGGAGGCATCAGGCAACGGGCGGAGCAACCGTGGGTAAGCACGATTTAATTGTGGCTCGCTTAAAAAAACTTGTTATTTCATAAAATGTTATTTTATAAAGAATATATATTTGTATTTTTTACAGATTATTATTCAATCTCCGCTGCTGCGCATCGCGGTACTGGTGAGCGTTGTTACTTTGTTTTTACATATTCTAAAAGATTGACTTGACAACTTTTTTTATTAATATTCTGTCTTTTATTAATAGTCTGTAGCTATATTTATATCTTGAAATTTTTACAATTTTTTTAATTTTACTTAAAAATTTTCTTTTTTCTAATAGTTCCTACGACAGTACAGAATGTAAAATTCAACTTTTGAGTGCGTAATTTAATTATTCATAATATTTTGCGATTATTATACAATCTTCGTTGTTCAAGTTTTTTTTACAAATAAGTGCATCTCTCATTTTGACAGCTTGATTTTTTTAATAGCTTAAACCTTTTAATATCTCTTCTCGTCTTACCTTTATTATTTCTTCCGTACTCGCTCCGACGATTTCTTTCCAACACGAAATTTGAGGGTGGGACAATGACCTGTGTACCTAAAAGTACACGCAACTTGTAATTAAGATATAAAACTTAGGTTTACAAGTAACAAGTTATAAACTAAGATTTATAACTTGTATAAAAGCACGAAATGAGTTTTGAAAGATGATAAATTTAGATATACCTAATAACACCGTTGCATTTCTCAAAACTTAAAGAAATCGAGTTTATATTTTCCTTTTTTTAAGCACCACAAGTGGAAACACGTTTGTTGAACTTTTAGATATGCTCTATGATAACAAAAGAAAATTAATTGGAGAAAGCTTTTAGCGTAGAATATAAAATATATTTTTAGCCTTGATGTACGTTAATTTTAGACGAGAGAAAATACGTTAGAATTGATTATATTTTAATTTTGCCAACTCCGTAAACTAAAAGATTTTTTTTACGGAGATGCTGCAGAAACGTATAACTTTTTAATTACTAGGTGCTTTATGTAACTCAAATTATGTTGATGGAAATTACAATAATAGTAGTCAAAGATAAAATATTATATTTTGATTAGATTTCAAATATCTATTAAAAATTAATATCAATCTTTTTTTTATTAGATCGAGTTTAATTTGTCACATTTGATTCTATCGAAGATCAGTAATACAAATTTCGTTATTGGACGTTGATAAAATTGCGATCATATTGATAATACCTGGATTGAGCTATATGGCTTTTCGATGCTTAGATTATCATGTGTTGATAATCGTGACTTGATTTAAAATTTTATTCATCCAATGATACGTCTATTCTCTTATATACTATTCTTTATGAATGAATATTAAACGTATATGAAATATACCTTTAATTTTTTTACTAAGGTTGTATATATATTGCACAGTGAATGGAATCGCGAAGCAATGTAGCAGTAGATTTCTTGCGTGGCTTTCGTTTCGCATTCACGATATCATCCCAGATATTATTATAAATCATATACTAGCTGGCGGCTTTTAATGGATGTTTATCAACAGCTGTACATATACATATCTCTCTTAAATTTTCAATAGCTAGATTAAATTAATTTTTACATAATAAACGAATTTCATTACATAAAGCGCGCGATTTACTGAGGAAATGATTATATGTAGGTATATATGCAAAATGCACTTTTTATTTTATATACGTATGTATAATTGGTTAATGATTTTGCTGCACTAAAATGTTACTATATGTCAGCTAGAGTATGTTTCTAACAGATGTCGAGAGCTTTCAAAACACTATGATGAAATTATTTTATTTAAGTACTTTTTAAATTATAATATCAAGTAGACGTCTTTTTAATAATCGATTAGCAAATTTTTATTCTTAGCTAGCGATAATTGAGACACTCGAGATCCGATGGATATTTATTATCAGTTTCAAAGATTACTGAATTTATTTTTCAAGAATACGTCAAATCGAATTTGAAAACTGCTACTTTTTATTGTTGTTTTATGTATCATATTTACACAGATCGGCTTTTTGATTATCCAGTAGAGAACAAATGAAGAACGACCAAGCCGTAATTCTCGAAGGATATTATACATATCTTTCGAGGAATAAATCTCCTCACTTAGCCCTTACTCTTTTCTTTTTATATTTCTCTCTCTCTCTCTCTCTCTCTCTCTCTCTCTCTCTCTCTCTCTGCTTTCCTCTTGAAATAAAATTCTAGCGTAAAGGAAAAGTAATAGGATATATGATATCGTGTATAGGTGAGGTTAAAGAATCTAAAGCAGAATTACCTCGTGGATTATGTTAGCCCGAACCTTAGATCCGAATACGACACTGCTAGGTAGAAGCATCCGCATCCGGGTTATTAAAAGCGGCTTCTCTGAACTCTATTATGTAATGCCGATACAAATACCACGTAATGAGAATAATATATTCTCTATTTACAAATTAAAATATCAAATTTCAAAATATTCTGCTCGCACTGTTGTATCAATATTAACCTCGATCTTTTTGAACGAATATTAAAAACTCGTTGCATAGTTGCTATACTTTTGAAACTCCCACATATCTTTTTTAACAAAAGTATGATTTTTTAAATAAAATAATAAGTAAAATAAAAATTAAATTAATTTAAAAATAAAATATTTGTTATAATGCCAAAGTTTCGATAAAAAGATACACTAATTCTTTTCGTATGATAATAAAGTCAACATAAAAAAAAATCTCTTTATGAAGAGCACCAAAAAACGGTACAAGAAAATATCGGAATCAACAGGGACAGCGCACAAAGAACTGAAAGTCAAGTTTTTAAGCAACGGATTTTTACAGTTTTACGACATGTCCACCCAATTTCGGAAAAATATTGTGATCAATAGTACCCATGTCGTTCTTTGTTATAGTTTTTTACATAACGGAAAAATATTCTCAATAAAGAGTTACATTCTATCCCTTTTTCTGCCTAACCAAGTAAAAAACCAAAACTTTTACGATTATGAAACTCTTTTTAACGGTGTTTTAGAAAACAACCAACCTAACAAAAAAAAACTAAATCTTTATCTCCTCTAAAAAAGAAATTTGTTATTTAATTACAAGAAATCTAAGACTTTCTTGCATTGTTTTCCTTTATTTTTAATTAAAAAAAACATATTGTAAAATGTTTGTTGGTAAATAAAAGGACATTTTTTTTAAACTCGCACTTACGAACAAATGTTCCACAAGAAAGTATAAATTTATTACTCTTTCTTCTTGTTGTTCAGCAATATATTTAGCGAGATAATTCTCTCGATGAATAAAAAAAAATGAATGAATAAAAAAATACTTACAAAATTGATGTGACATTATAATTAATTAAAATTACAATTACGATTACAATTATAGATAGAGTATAGTTGTAACATCTTATTGACATCATAATAAAGTGTCATTCGATTATTTTGTAAAGGCATAAATTAATAAACGAGGAACAAGCTGAATGTGCATTTTCACGATTCACCAACACAAGTCTAACGATACGATACAAAACTGTCATTTCAGAAGGATACAATAAACGCAGACAAGAGCCAAGCACTCGTTAAGAGCAGACCCCGAAGGCTCTAATTAAAATAACAAACGGAAAATCCGCGAGAGTTTCTGCCGCATTCGCAGAAACTTCCCCCACAAGCATCCCGTGACACAACCACCCCTTTCCCCCATTTCCCGACACGCGCCCCGTACTCTCCTCGAAGAGGACCGGCTTCGCATAAACGGCGGCAATTCAGCTCTCGACGACTGTGTATAAATGTTTCCATATTATATCATGTTACACAGTCAATGATGTTACTTCGGTAATGGGGGAGGGGGGGGGGAGGTTAAACTAAGATGAAAGAATTTATGAAGAAAGCGCTCCAAAGAAAATAAATTATATGTACACACATATATGATATCAAACACACACATATGTATATAAATCAATTAGATATAAAAATAATTACAACAAAAATAAATATAACTATAAACGCACAGGTATATAAACTGCAAAAAAATCAGGAATATATCCTTTGTATTAATTAATACGAATATAGAACTACGTTATTACATCAAGAAAAAAACAGATACAAAAAATGCTAAACGTAAAAATAATTGCGACAAAAATGAAAGAATTGTAAAATAAATTAACAACTTCACGAGAGAGATTATCTGATTTATTAATATGTTTTTTTATATAATAATTTTTATTCGTTAGCTAATTTTGCGTATGAGAAGTCGAAGAAAAAACTGTATAAAACAGCGTATATTGCACAGAAGATGAAAAGACTGGAAACAGAGAAGTGATAAAAAGAAAGAAGAATAATTATAGTGAAAATAAAAAGTCGAGAATAGAATGGAATACACAGACCAGAAAATGTAACAAACGTTTAATTGCGCAAAGAAGGAAAAGACGGAAAAGTTTGCGCGCGAAGGAAAACATTGGAGGAAAAGGAGACGATAAGCAGAAAGAACAAAGGGGTCGAAATGTGGGAAGGGATAACCGCGGCGAGGGGTAAGTGAGGAAAAGGAACAGGCGAGAGACTAACCGCGAAGAGGGGTTGGCGTTTCTATTCGGAAGGGGGTTGGTTCTGGCGTCTCGTTACAGCGGTTGGCTGTCGGAAGCGCGGATAACGCGGAGGGGAAGAGGACGAAAACCCCCGAGGGGTTTGAAGCCGGTCTCGCCGTGTTTTTCGCCGATTGAATCAATTAAAGAGGAAAAACTCCCGGGGTAAAATATTCGAGACGTGTCCTACCCGTCGTGCACGGTCCCATGTACATGCGTGCTCGTTCGTTCGTTCGTTCGTTCGTACAGATCGAGAGATCGACGGTATGGTTTGCCTTTCGGATTGTCAGGTATCGAGGGATCCGGTTTTTCGTGATTTTCATCATTTGCGAGCTAAGATCTTGATGTAGAAAACACGCGCTGATGCGTGCAATTTTTAATAGTATAATATGACACTGTCCGTTAAACTTATTTAAGATATACAGCTTTATATAGTTTTATGTATTTTCTATTAAGATAAGATGCACTTTAAAAATCATATGTTTGTTTGAAATATTTTACTATGCGCTTGTGAAATAATTATAAAAGAGTATTATAACGTTGTTTTATGGCAGAATTGAATGCTGTAATGGTTATACATAATGACACATACGTATTATATGTATATACTTTCGGAACTAGTGATGTATAATGATGCAAAATAGGAAAAATAGAATTTTGACATGTACTAATCTTTACGTATAGCTTATTGTACAGAGTAAGTTTTAATTATATAAAAATATTAAAAAGTGCTATGGAAAAATTCAGCCATTTTCATAATATCTAACTTAAAATTGGTTACAACTTTAGCAAAGTTATTGAATATAATGATAGGTTTTGTTAGCTATTTATAATCTATAAGAGATAATTTGATACATGTCGCTTATAATATATTTTTTCTCTGCTGAAAAAATTGCTTGTGAAGAAAGACATTTTATAAACGTAGATACAACCATGAAGTGTTTGTTCGCGCAAGGTGTTTCGTGTTCGCTCTGTAATGCGATCAGGATAAGAACCACGCATGTGTAGTAAGGGCTAAGAAATGGGAGAGAAGAAACGAGAGACAGGGACAGTGTCAGGCAACAGGATTTAATCTCTTAATTACCGGAGAATAGGCTCGCACCGCGTGCGGCCGTGCTAAAAACGATGCGGGGATTACTCGTAATAGTACTCTCATAAGTCCACCATCCGGCTTGTTTGTTAAATAATATTATTGCTACCCGATTAGGCCTACACAACATTATGCCATTGAGAGTCTCTTTCGGTTAATTGACTGTTGCATTAATAGATTAAAGCATGATCCATATAAGAAAATTTTTCTTAATTTTGTTATTTTTATTTAGCATCTTTAAGAAATTAAACTAATTATGCTATCTATGCAATTAATTTTTTATAGTTTACGGTTAAATAGCATTCATGTAAGGAAACACATAAGTTAATTTAATATCACGAATTTTGAGATCACGCGCGATTATCAGCTTTGACATTTTGCAAACAGCTGCGAAAATGGTGATTCAGCGAATATCGGGAACGGCCGATGGATTCCTAATTGACAGTCTCGCAGTGTGGAGCCACGATTCGCCGACACATTGATCTGCAATCGTAAGCGCAAAATAAAATAGAACTAGCGGAAGTACGACGTGCGTGTGCATGTGCGTGTGTCTGTGCGTGTGTCTGTGCGTGTGTCTGTGCGTGCGTGCGTGCGTGCGTGCGTGCGTGTGTGTGTGTGTGTGTGTGTGTGTGTGTGTGTGTGTGTGTGTGTGTGTGTGTGTGTGTGTGTGTGTGTGTGTGTGTGTGTGTGTGTGTGTGTGTGTGTGTGTGTGTGCAATATATACATAGAATGTGCATATACACACATATCTTCGATGATAATGTATACATGAATATTATTATTATTATCGAAGTTTTGTAGAGAGACTAGAGAGTTTTCTTTCGTTTATGAATTCTTGTGATTTTTTTAAAACTACAGCCCATTCTACAATACGTCGACGTCATAAGCTGTAAGAATGGAACAATTAGAATCGAATGTGAGAAGAATATTTGACTATGATTAGTCAATTCTTACAACATCGACATATGACGTATTGTCGATATCGGATCTAGAAGGGCATAATAACTTTTAAGTCAAAAGGCACTAAAAATCTAATAATTCTCACGGATTAAAATTTAGAATTAATTGCATATTTAATTCGTATTTTGTTTTGTCGTAATGTTTCTAGAAGTTCCTTTGCATATCTTTTCTAAAAGAATAAGCTAACATCTGGATATTTAAAGTTTAAATTAATAGTTTTCTGCTTATATAAGAGTGTAGATGTCAAATATACAATTTATCACATGCAAAATATGTAATTTTTTGTATAGCTAAATCTCCGATAAAGAATAAATGTTATTTTGTATTTATTGGAGATATACTACTATACTAGTGTAAAGAGGAATGTCCCATTGAAAAGCACCACTCATTTTAATTCTCGCGATTATTGTTGTGATATTTCCCATATTTATTATTTAAAACATATTGTTGCTTCTTTACATAGGGAAGATTAAAGTATTCAATAGTATAATCGAAACAGTGAGAAAAATTATTAGATAATAATCCAACATATGCATAGTCGCGTCCTTCTTTCCTTTCTCACTTCTTATGCTCGCTTACAGACACACATATCAGATAGACAGACAAACAGACAGCACATAGCACATAGCACATAGCACACAAATAGCAGACAAGCACACGCGAGCACATGTGAGAAAAAGACAATGAAAAACTTAATGAAAAAGTAACAAAGAAATATTGTACAAACGTAAAACATATAATATAATTATATTATAATCCGTAATACACAATTACATTATACACAGTTAACAATTACACAAAATTATTTTTATAAATATATCTAATTTTATAAATTTTATAAGTATATCTAAATTATTCTAAATATATATTAATATACAATTTCTTTATTCTCAATTGGAATTAATAGCGATTTATATTTCACTGATAAAAGAATCTGATTTCACGTTGCTACAGATATATGAATTATTTACTTATAATCTCGCAACATACTCATGTTATGACATGGATCAAGAGGTGAACGCCAGCATGCATTATTACCTAAGTCGATCTTATATGGTATCACTGGTGGTCCATACATATGTAAAAATTCCTCGCAGGGGCTTCTTCGCGAGAAAACTCGGCATAGGGATACCTAGGGGCTTCCTTCGTTCCTAGCATCTATTTTATGTAACCGAGTTTATGTCATTCGCCCTTCACTAATCATTCCTGTCGTGTGTGTGTGTGTGTGTGTGTGTGTGTGTGTGTGTGTGTTTGAGAGACAGTGTTTTATATAAATTCTTAATTTGATTACATACAAGCGCTAACGGAACACCTATGAGGTCTCTCGCGTAAAATTTATCAAAAGGTGACTAAATGACTCTTGTATCGATACTATCGATTTTGCACGAGACATGAAAATATTAACAATTTTTATTTAGTTACTTTTTCTTTTTGTTTTGCGCCTTTTTAAACACAAGAAAATGATACAAGTTTTGGTTTTGGCAACCTAAAAATGGCTCAACTTCGAAAACATGTATGTCTACTTTTATTATCGTTGAAGATGGCTTGAAGTCAAGCCTAAACATTCAACAATAAAGTAATGTAAACTTAAATATAACGTACAGAATATTAAACTGTTGAAATATAACTATTAATTACATACAAATAACAACATAATTATTGTTAAATTTAAATTTAATATATAAGTAATAAAAAAATTTCCATCTGCTTTACTTACGAACAGAAAATATGATTTTATAAGTCAATATATTGTCAATATATGTAATTTGTATTTAACCTCTTATTATTACGTTCAAAATTTTTGAGTAGTTTAGATTCAAATTATAAAGATTCAAATTAAATCAAATAGTTTACACTCTCTAGCTATCTCTAGCTATTACATAATTTGTTTAATATAATGTTATGCGTAAACTAACTGGGTGGTCTGCAAGGACTATAACCAATGACTTTTAACTTCTCTCTCTTTCTCTCTTTCTCTCGCTCTCTCTCTCTCTCTCTCTCTCATACTTGACAGAATTTTAAAGTTTGAAGAAGGTGTGTATTTATGCACAAAATCGATTTTGCATCATGTCATGCACACTACAGTCACCCCCCGTGGTTCGGTAGCACATCTACCTAGCAAAGATCTTTTGTTACACTCAATTCACCAGCTGCGTCCCTAAAAATTATGGTGCTCTTAAAGCCAATCTAAACACGTACCATCATTTCTCAACTTGTAGAATCGAACCACTCGTTTTGCTTGCGGGTCAAAAATACGATTTCTTACCGTTTTTTAATGTTCTGAGCAATATGTGATATTGTAAATATATCTTAATTTATATAAACTCTATTTTTTCATGAGAATAATGTTGAATGCGAAAGATGCTGAAAATTTCGCATTCAAAAATAATGAACAAATTGCAAGGAGAGACGAAGTTAAATACATTTATAAACGCCAATGTTATAACACTAACTAGAAAGGTGGTTTTTATTATGGAACAAAAAGGCTATTTTGGTTAAAAGTCTAATCACATCTAACTATTAATGGTATTAATATATCAAACTTATATCTAATTATTGTCACACACATGTGTAGTATTTAAATTTAAAAATTTTTTAACATGGTAAAAATTGTATAAATTATCTACATTTCATATTTTCAATAGAAATTTAGCGATAAAAAATCGACAAAAATCAACACAAGCACAACATATGAGAAATTTTTAAAAGAGATCTTGTTAAAGATCAATAGAACATTTACAGCAAGTCAAATGATTTATAAGGCAATAAAGGCAATGGCCCAAAAAATCTTAAAAGGACGTTGTCTCACTGACCTACATTTTGAACAGGAAAATTGTTATGGTAGGTCTCGCTAGAGCAGTGACTGCCTGGCCAACACACCGTTTAGATATAACTTCTTATGTTTCTCCACACAAGGAGAAAACTCTTTTGTACCAGAAGCGACAAAATCGATTTTGTCCCTTTTCTTATTTTTTCTGTCCTGTTTGTATCCTATTTCCATTTGAAGAATGAAAAAGGTATTTGCACTAACAATAAGTTAAATAATCTAAACATAAATTACTGATGAAAAGTGACTAAACTTGACCAATACAGTAGCTGATCTTTGGTTTTCCGCACAAGACGTTAACAATAAGAAAAAAGGGACTAAAGCATGCAAAAAGATAATGGTAATGCTAGACACCCGTGACACATCCAGGTTACTCGGTCACCCATGTGACCGATTTCGGTAGTAGACAACGATTAACCAGAACCAAGTCCAAAAAAAATTCATTGCTTATTGTTAAACAGCGAGATAAATAATGTTTATCTCTTTTACTGAATTTTTGTTTTCAAAGCACTTATTTTCTGCATATTGTCTTGTCTATGAAAAAAATTAGAAACAATCTTTAATAGATAAAACTTTAGTCACTTTTCAAATTTAAATCGAATAATGGGAGTTTTGGAATGGAGTAGTTTTGCACACAATTTCGTTTATTAACAGCAATTAACTTTTTAAGATATATATTTTTAATAAACAAGAAAAATTATTAAAATGTCTTTTAATACACTTTTAAAAAAATATTTATAATGTATAACATTTAGTTTTTTTGTTGAAGAAATAATTATATCACTTCAGTTTTATTTATAATTAATATTAACTGTAGAACTTAAAAAGAAAGAAAAAATTTAAATTAATACGTCATAAAAAATTTCAAAGTCTTAATAGTTTATAAAAAATAAAATAAAATTTTTCTTCTTATAGTTTTTTGATAACACATTTCTCAATTTACATTAAACATATATTTATATAATATAGGATTGACATTTGTAGGTATATAATGGGATCATAAAATCTAGGTATCTATTTAATCTCAGAAACACCTATCTTAACATTCTCGAGGGGCGGGAGGAAAGATGGAAAATTTTAAATAGTATGTGGGGAGACTCAAGTAAGAGTTCGTTTGAAAGGGCTCTTCGAGACGACAACAATGCGGTATGATCGAGATTTCTACAATTTTTTTCGCAGAGTTATGTTCGTTTAAACATTGGTGCGATTTAGCGCTAGCGAAGGCTCACGTTAAAAACGTGAGGAAGATAAGGCTACGCGCGGATTCTTGAGCTCACATGCCACTTAAGATTTTCCGGCACCCCTCTTCCTCTGGAGGTGTTAAAGTAGATGTTTCCGAGATTAAATAAGAGATTTTATGATTCCGTTACATCCCTCTAAATTTATATCTTATATTTCGAATCCTTCAAAAATTATTTTAATGTTTCCAGACTTTTTGCATATACATATACATATATACATATATACATATACACATAATTATAATAATATGTAATTTAAACGATTGACGAAATCGTGGATGAAATTGTAAATCGATTTGAAAGAAGAACGACGTCGTGTCGAATTCACAAGGGTTTACGACCTAATCCGTCGATTTTTCAGGTACTACGCATTAACGCGACTCGGCCGACAAATCCGTCAATGTCTAACATTTTGAATAACGTCTTTTCTTGCCGCGCGGAAGAGTCGACAACAAAATGCCAGGCAGCTTCCGCGACTCACATAAAAAGCAATTGATAAATTTCGAATGCTGGGATTTTTTTCATGAAGAAATAGGATTGTGCGTGAAGATAAATGCGATTTTTTGATCGGCTCGAAGGGTTAAAGGCTCTTTTTGAGAAAGAAAAAAAGCGGTACTAGCGAGACGCGACAAAAGATTTCACGAGATGTAAAAAAATCTTTAAAAGAAAAAGATTGATTTACGCTCCGTTGTATGTTATTCACGACTAGATATTACTTGTTACAAATGTACAAACGCGTTTAGAATTCTTCAACTTTTTTTCTTAATCGCATTCTTTCGCAATTTTTGAAATTACGAACAAATGTCGAAAATTTTGAAATTTCGAAATAATAAAAATGCATAAAATCTTTAATTATAATATTTACAATATGCAATAAATTAAAAATTTTATTATTTTCCAAGCGTATTTTATAATAATTCTATGAGAATAAATGTGCAATGGGAAAAAGTGCTTTTTTTATTTTTATAATATTATAAATGCTACAAAATTCTACAAAAATAGAAAATTTATTACTTATGTTTAAAAAATTATGTATACGAACATAAATAAAAAAATATTTAAAACTGTATAAATTAAAAATATATATAATGTTTTCAATAAATTACTTGGCCAGAATTTTACATATACACAATGTAACGTAATTTTTCAAATTACAATGCTAAAGATCTTGAGAATAATTATTTTTATATCCAATTTAAAAATAAAATATATTGCTAAACATATATGTATAAGAAATCATATATAATATATCTAATATGTCAATGTACTTTTCTAAACTAGAAAAATGTTTGATAAAAGAAGAAAAGAAGATATTATTTTAATAATATTTAAAATATTAATCTCTGCAGAATTAATTTTATCATATCGAAAAAATTAGTTGAAATATGTTAATTTAATATTGAAGCAAGTCATTCATTTCGAGGACAGTTACATACGATAGGATATAGAAGAAGGTACTTATCGATATTATTCACGCCCATCTCAGATCTTATACGGGCGCATTTACACCGTCGGCGCGTAATATCGGTGCGCGACGTGTAAATACGGACTATGTCATTGGACAACAATATACCCGTGGGATTCGGATCATCACTGCAATGTCAACGACCACACCGTTTATTCCGCAGGGTCTTTTTCGACGCTATTTCGTGGCAATGCGATGAGTAAATTATTGCTAAACGGTGGACCGGCGCGGCGCGGCGGATGTCAAGATGCGGGTTCGGCTCGGGTGGTCGTGGGATCTACTAACGAAAGCGGTAGAAAGCGAAGTAAAATCGAGTATTGTTTGTATGGGAAAATATAATTCAATAATCTTATTATTTGAATCAACATGAAAAAATAAATAAATCCTGAATATAAAATGAAATAATGAATATATTAAACGTATATATTTTATGTATATCTACTGAAAGTTTTTAAAATCTCCTAAAAAACCTAGAATTCTCCAAAAATCTATATTGGGCATATAATATTTGTGATAATCCAGGATAATACTTTTCTTTTTGTCTCCCGCATATATCGGAATACATATAATATTATACATATAATCCGATATATATGTATGTGTATATTTGTAACAATAAAAATGATTATACACCAACATTTATGTTGCGACTCTCATTGGTATTAGTCCATTATTGTTGATTTATTCTTGAGAGTCCTAATTTCTTTAAATTTATTTGAATTTACACAGCCTGAAATACGCGTTACATACTGTTTATACATTAGTTATTGCGAAAAATATCATCACGTGGCTCGGTAGTCGATGGGACGCCCGCCCGGCAAGCAGGGAGATCTGGGTATGATTTCCGAGTGAGGTGATATTTTTTGCAATAAACTTTACAGATTTGGGGGGAGGGGATTCTTATAGATGATTACTAACATAAAAAATATTTAATTGCTTGTCAATTTAATTCGTGGAATTCGGCTTCATATAAGGTCACGTAATATTCGACTTTTCTTCAAATACATACGTTACACTCATTGTCAGATTTACACTCGGATGCGAGTATACTTCTGTGTGAATGGCAGAAGCTAAACGCGATTATAATCAACTAGCGATACCGGCGCGGCGCGGCGGGGGTGTGGGTATCGTTGTCGTAATAAAGCGAAAGCGCCGGATTCACGTCGAGTGACACGTGGCGAATCGTGTCCGAGGACAAAACTGATATCATTGTATCGCTACATGCCACGTGACTACCATTTAATAAACGTACACCGTATCTCTATCATTTGATGTGACAGTTTACCTTTCGAAATCCTCGATTGATATCATCCCTTCGCGAGAATATTTTTCCGAAGAAAGACATTCTTCAAATTGATGGTGTTTTCTTGATTTTTAAACAAAATTGCAATTTAATTTTGTTTTTTATTAGGCAGATGCAATGTACATTACTAATTAAATCCGTTAATTACGTATAATATTATTATATACGTAATAACACGCTATATTAATCTTTAACTGCATGGAAAGATTAAGATAATAAACTATATTAGAGTATATCTAATAAATACATTAAAAGGTTTTTGTAGTTTAAATCTTTTTCTGATAAACGCACAGAAAATTAATTTGAATAATTTTATGCTAACATTAAAAACACAATAGTAAATTGATTGAGAATGTAACACTTTTAAGTTTTATTTTATACGATTTAAAATGCTTTTATATATGTATGTATATACGCGTGTGCGTGGGCGTGTGCATGTGCGATAACATATGCAGTATATATAGTGCATGTGCATATACATATCAAAAGCACATGCATGCGTATTATATGATAAAGTTTAAAAATTAAAATTTGAAAAAGTTTTATTACGATCTCGAGAAGCTAATCTTCTATTATATAATCTTAATATACATGTATATAAAAGTACAGATATATGTATGTATGTACTAAAGGAGCAAACTTAAAATTTAATTTTACAACATGCATTTTTAACACTCCGATAAAAATTTATTTGAACCAAGCTTCTTCTCAAATCCAAATAAAGTATTTATATAGAGCTACACGCGGAACGTCAATAAACTAGTAAACTATTATAGTAAACTAAAGTGGATCAACCTCGAGTTAGGAAACAAGACATCGTGGTCCGTAAGTCGTACGTGCACGTGGGGAAGTGTCAATTTGTTCAGCGGAGACCAGGTCGTCCCTGTTTGTTTCTAGGAGAGCTTTATTTGTAGTACGCAAGGACCACGTCCAACGACTGTCGAGGGGTCGACGCGCGGCGGCGGCGGTCAGGAGAAGCGGAAA